GGTGTGCTGGATCCATTGGCCGTGTGCCTGTGGAGCTGCATGTGTGCATGGCAGTTGTTCATCAGCAGAAGGCCCGGTGGCCTCAACTGCTGAAACCAGCAGGATGCCTTTGCACAGAAGGACTAGTCGGGCTGGTTGCCACCTACCTGGTTTCCAGCCTTAAAGGCCTTCAATCTTGATTGCATATTGATGTTCATTAGGAAAGTGATTGGAAGCAGAAAAGATTTTGGTGTGCAAATTTGGGAAGACAGTTTGCATTTGAAAAATCATCTGCACAGGCTTAGGACAGGCTTGAGGCGCACACAGTTTGTCTGGCTTATCTGTCAGGATTTGAGTACCTAAATTGTCTTCTTTAGGATAGTCCTGGAATGATATTTGAATCCAGACCCTGTTTGCCTGGTTTCTGCCAAACCAGAATTTTACGGAGATGCCTCTGTAAGGCACACAAAAAGGGCTGTTGCTAAAAGCTGCATGTCCCCCAGCAGTTTACTGGGTCTCTCAGAGTGGAAAATGAATTATTTTTTCTACATCTGCTTAATGGCTATAATCTCAACACTGACACAGTATAAATCAGAGAAAAAGTCAGAATATTTTGCAATAGGAAAAACTACTCAATAGTTCTGTGGTACAGTGAGCTATATGGTTTCTTTAATCCACCTAGAAGAACTTGATTGTGCCTTGTCCTGTGGTGTTAGATGAGGACTGGAAATTACAGTTTGCCTTCTTTTCTCATTCAGTGTTGCTATTCAGGAATGGCTCCAAACTTGGATCTTGTTATTCAGTCATGAAACTAAATATTCATTGTTAGTTCTTTTCTTTTTATTTTTTTTTCCATCTGTGCTTCTGCCAGTTACCTTCAGGGCTAATATTTGCATGTAAATTATTCAGTTATAGCAGGAATGAAAAAAAAAAAAAAACCCAAAAAACTGTTGAGATTTGTCTGTAGAGATCTCTCCAGCACAACTACCACCAAAGTTCCTGCACTGTGTGGCCAGTTCAGGAGGTGTGGGCAGGTCCCAGCATGGCACCTCACAGGTGGACACTGGTCAACTTTTTGGATGCCTTCAGCTGTGCTCAGGTCTTGCCTGATAAGTACAGGTGACTGATTCAGACAATCTAAATTCTACCCTTGGCCTTCAAGGTCTTAAAATGAAGGTTAATGAGGAAATTAATATAAAGAAATTATATTTTATTGTCCACATGATGTGCCACAATGACCCATAATGTGCCACAATGCAGATGCTGGATCAGTAAGGTAGAAAATCGAACTTTGTAAAAATTTGATGCAATTTACTTTAAATAAACTTCTAATACTTTTTTCTTCTTTTTTCCCTTGGCTGTAAGCACCATGTGCTGTAAAGCTTTCAGAATACCAAAACAAGCTACTCTCAAGGGAAGATCTTCTTCTGAGGTTTGCATTGTTAGTGTTCACATGGTGTGTTTCTACAAAAAAAGAGAAAGGTTGCTGCTTTTGTTTTGATTTGGCTACTTCAATGACTCCCATCCCTGCTCCAGAGCTGAGATTTTGCTGGCAGGAACTGGTCATTGATATGGAATTGGTCATTGATATGGGTCTGCAGACTTATTTGTGTGTGGTTTTGGCAGTTGCAGGGGCACCCTGACAGCCCTTTTTTAAAGTCCCTTGAAAATGAGCATTTTTTAAAATTACAGAATTGCCTTACGTTCTTTGTAGTATTGAATTTGTGTTAGGATGTCTATATACATGGAATTAATTTCTGATTAAGGACAAGTATATTTAAAAGGAAAATATTTTTAAATAGCCTTATATCAGGACATAATAAATCTGCCTTATTTTCCTGTTTTAGGGTAATCCACTTGCAAAGTAAACAGGCTTATATGTTGTCCAAATTCGCTGGAATGCAGACAGAACCTGCAGCTTGAGAAAAGCTTCTCTCAACCACTGTTGTGATAAAGGAGCACCTAAGGACTGCAGGCTGGTGTCTTTGAACACAAAGGGAAATTAACAGCTACTGCTTGGTCAGGGGATTTCATTAGCACAGGGCTGTACCGTTCTCATGTCTCATGGAGATATCACTGGCATTATTCCACTGAACTTGAGATCAGTATCTGCCTCCTTACCAGGAGCAGAGGGAGAGAGAGAACTGGGGTGGTTTAAACAAGTTGCAAGTGCCAGAGGGAACTTCTCTGGGCATTGCAAAGCTGGTGGGTCTCCACTGCCTCCTGCCTGGGGGGGCTGTGAGGCTCCAGCTGCACTCACCTCGATCTCCCATACAAAATAAACCAGTATCTGCTGAAAATCAGGCTGAGCCCAGGTCTGCTTTGAAAATTTCATGCTGGGTTTCATCATATAAGTGGTGTTTTAACACTGAAAGTTGGGTGTACTGCAAATTCCACGTGAAGTTGGAGTTCTAGAGGGAACAGGGCACTAATAAACTGCCTTTTACTGGAGTTCCCCCTGGATACACACAGAGCCTGTATTTGATCTTGACCACTTTTGTTGAAATAAATACTAGCTGTGTCTCATTTAAATGGAGGTTAATTTCACATTAAGACATCTGACTTGATGGAAACTGCACATATTTTTAACATTAATAACAATTAAGAATTAATTGAGGAGTTTATTTTCTTCCTGCCCCACTCCCCTCCCTGACGTATTTCAGTTTTTCCCTTTGCATTTCCCGTCTTGACTGAAGTGAGTGGATAGACTGAGTTGTGCCATGCAGTGTTGTGTCTATACAAAACCATGTTATGTGGAAGCTGTACCTCTTGGAAATAAAAAAGATAATGACCACTTATCTGTGTGTCTGCAGCCCTCATTTCTCCCTCCGTCTCTGCTTTCTTAGGTCCTTGGATCTAGCTGCTACAAGCAGGCCTGTTTTAAACCTCTCTGTAATATAGGATCACACAGAATGCATTTTGTCAGTGGAGTCTTTAAGTGGCCATTAGGACCAAAAAATTGTCCTTTTCTTTGCAGTCACCATGGGCAGGGTAGGACTTGACTTCTTTCATCTGCTAAATCAGGTCCTCTGATAAGAACCACTTTTTTACAGTGATACCGGTTAATGCTTTGCTCTTCTGACTTTGCATTTTCACTTCATGTCATTGCCCCTTCCCCAGTCCTGACCTTTTCTCCTTTCCTTTCATTAATTTTCTTCTACGTGAATTTCGCATTAAAATGTCACTTCTTATTCAGTAGATGGTGCAGTAATGGAAATGAGTGACAGCACCTGTATGCAACACGTGAAATCCAAATGTCAGGTAGCAATGTGGTGAGAGGCCAGGAAGCAAGGGAGGCAGGGGGAGGCAGAAGAGGAAGAGAAGGTACTCAGGCCCAAAAGAGTGCATTTTCTCTTGCATTTTCTCTTGACAAGATTTGGACCTGTGGGCATTTTGTTAAGGGTTTAAGATCAGAAGTATTTTTGGTGGAAATTGCAGGGCTGCTTATAGCTAAATTGAAGCCACTTAAGAAGGTTCCTGGGTAAGTCTTATTTATCTTGAATTATATATGTTAGGACACCTATGTGCACACATATCATTGTAATTGGAGTTTACCTTCAAAGGACTGCAAACAATTTCTGTTCTTCATGGATGGGAAGAACCAAGCTGTTACTTGAAGAGAACAGAAATTCATGTTGAATCATGATGGAAAGAACTATGTGTTTCAGAAAAGGTGAAATGTGGATCCTTTTTGAAGTTGCTATGAAGAAAGAAGCTTGTATCAGTGCTAGTACTGTTTCATAACTATGTAAATATGAGATGGTGTTGTGCAAGAAAGTAATCCCCTAAAAACCTGGAAATCAAAATAGAAAGTCCTTTGATAGATGAAACTTGGCATCCTTTAAACATTTTTTATCTATAGTGTTGCCTACGGACACTGCACCAGAGCAAAATGAAGTATTCAATACTACTTTTCCTGTGCAAATACCTCACAGCTTTGACTCCAAAGGAAATTAGAAATTCTCCTTGGTCACCTAAGGACTACATGGTGCTTCACATGAGACATTCTCCACCTGAAAAAAAAATTGTAGTTGATATTAGACCTAATTCACACCTTTCCCAAGCAGTTAAATGATAATGCCTTTGCTCTGTTTTGGCTGCAGGACTCCCTGCATGGTGGAGGGGTATGCTGTGCATCCTGCACCCAGTGTGAGAGCTTGTAGCTGGAATGGCAGCTGCTCTGCAAGGGCCTCCCAGATGCTTCTTGGCTCGCTTGGCAGGCTGAGGGCTGCCTGGGGAGGCAGGAGACACAGGCGTGTCTAAGCCATCCCTCTAGCAGAGGGAGTTTGGGAGCATTCCCTGCCTGCCAGGCTGTGTGTGGGTCAAGGAGCACTTGGAGTGGAGGCTGACAGCGGGTATTGGGGATGCTGGCTTCTGTGGGACAGGGGTGGTGTAGGTGGGAAAAGCAGATGGGGGCTTTCATGCAAGAAAATTGCTTCCTCCTATCTTTGGGGCTCAGGGCCTTGTGATTTCAGAAGAGAAAGCACTCAGTTATGCAGGGAAATTAGGTCAGCTGGTGTACTTTTGATGGCTCACCTTTGACTGAGATCTTTCCTCCATGTTACTGACAGAGGCTGGTCTTTTGTCAGTCAACAAATTTTCAGGGTATCATGCTGCCAAATGAATTTTTTTCCCTGTGCACTTTGAGTAAGCCATCCCTGAGCTGACGTAACTGCAGCCACCTTGCTCAGTAACAAAGTTATGGTGGAAAATTTAAAGGTCAGATGACTGCAGGATGATGAAATGCATGCAAATAGAAATGAGAAAATTTCTGGAGTGGTTGTTTGCCTTTCGTGTCATCAACCTCAGTCTTTAGTGAACTGTTAACAATGGAAAATTATAGTGCAGTAAATAATGGTGGATGTTCCATAGTTTTTATTTCCATACAGGGTTTACTTCTGAGATTGTTTACTGGCCTGGCTTGAGTCTGTTAAGTGTACACTCTTTAAAATACATCTTAACTTCTTAATTGTGTTGGTATTATGAACTAACCTTGTGTTATTTTTTTTTTTCTCATATAGTTTTCCCTACACAAAATGGAAAGGTTGCTATAGTGACTGGAGGCACTAAAGGAATTGGTTACCAAACTGTGAAGCATTTGGCAAGACTTGGCATGCATGTGATAATAGGTAAAGTCATTATTTTCTTAATATACTTTTTGTTTCATAAAGTCTTTTTTTTTTTTTCCTTTTAAGGTGTATTTTCTTTCCAGCATCAGGGAAATGTAGGAAAATATTTTGCTAGTGTTCAGCACAAATAAAGATTGATTTATGTTTTGCTTTGCAAGATCATAAAAATGTAGTGGATGGGATTTTTTCTGTCGGATTTGGAAGAGTTGTACTACTTTAGATAAGAAGCAAACAATAAAAAAACCTTAAAAAGATGAGTATTACAAAAATATTTTGGTTCCTTGTTACTGGGGATGGGTCATGCATCAGCGTTAGGGTGTACGTGTTCATTAAGAGGAAAACAAATTAAAGAGTTGAAGAAGTATTACAATACAGTGGGTAGTACAGTGAAGTAGTATTACAGCATAGTTTAGTGGGGGATGATCTGTGTTATAAGGACAGAGGAAGCCCTTATAACTTCATCCATGTAAAAATTGCACATTTACTTCTCAGTTTGTCACTGTAAGAGGCTTCTGTAGGCAAGACAAGAAAATAAATACCTAGAGATTCAGTCGTGTCAGTCTGAGATGGACTGGGCAATTCACCTTCTGGAGCTGCCTGTTTCTCTCTCTGGATAATAAAGTCTTGGTAAGGTGGGTGAGTTAGAGTGAGACATTTGAAGTTAGGTGAATTTCTCTATGAACTCAAAAACTGTCCTGTGTGCACCATTTCTTCTTTCTACCACAGACACTATTTAGGAGACTTCCTATTTTTTAAAGCTTTCTCTACTACATTTTTATATTTATGCACTAATATGTCTACTAAATCAGAATGTAGTATAATGAATAGTTATATGTTTAAAATGCTACATTTTCTCATTTCATCTTTCCTTAACTAGATTTTTACCTAAACCACTGTAACTTTTATTTCAGAGAGTCACTGAAGATTGCTGTTTCATTGTGCACTATGAAGCTGGTAATGCCATTTTGTTCAGCTTTTATGGAGATTTTTCTCTCTCTAAGGTTCTGTACACATGTCATTCCCAGTCCAAACAATGAACGAGAACACAGTAGCCGTGTACTTTTAATGTAGTGCAGTCAGTAACATAATGGAGTTGTCCTGGAATCATACAGGTGTAACGTGGAACACCATTTACTCATACATGTTTTAATAGATGTGTCAAACCCAAGCGTCTGCAAAGTGCAAGTAGATGCTTCTTTATGTAGCTAAATGCTAGATGTTACTAATGTAGCTAGATGTAGCTAATGATGTCAGCATTAATATTTCACTAAAATTGCTTTTCATCTTTAACATGGACTGCAAAAATGTACTCAGAGGGAAAACAAAAAGGGTTATTTTCTTCTCTTTGCATGGGGTCACAAAAGCATAGAACATTCTTTTTTTCAAGATTTATTTTGTATCACTTAAAGTTTAGGGTATTCCATGTAACAAAATTCAGTGGAAGAGTTTTGGGAACGGCAGGGTGAGGTTTAGGTGCACATTCTGTAAATAAGCTGAATTTATTTCAGCTCACAGTCACTCCCTCATAAATCTCATTCACTCACCCTCACACCAATAGTCTCATAAGCACCAAGATGTGTGAGCTCATGTGATCTTGTGAGCATCACCCAAGTATGGAAAAAGGTCGTGCCAGCTGACAGTGCTTATCCTGTCCCTGTGGTTCTTCTTGATCAGAAGTGACAGGCTAGTTCATGGTCAGATCTGCCACAGAAGTTGTGCAGTCTCCTTCTATGGACGTATTAACAATTGATCTGGATGTTCCCTGTGTTACTTGTTCTGGGTGAAGCTGCGTTAGCAGAGGGATTGGACAGAGCTCCCTTCCAGCCACTACTATTCAGTGATCTTTTATATTGCTCAGCAGCTCTCAGTACATTTTTCCTGGTCTGCAATATATAGGCTCTGTCCATTGCCCATTTTTTAGGCTGGGCTAACAGGAAAAGTAATTGTATGGGTATTATGCTGTAACCTGGAGATGTTATCCTCCTGATGGCAGAGTGCATGGTCATCTGCTGCCAGTGTTCTGTGCTGTGGCCTTGACATGCATGGCACAGGAACAGTGTCCTCAAAACATGTCTTTTGTTTGTCAATAAAGGGCATTCTTTTAACACTTTGCTCTTTCTTTTGGTGCCTACAAACACACACACTTCCATTCACTCCACAATTGTATCAATCTTTCTATTTTCATTACGAATCCCTGCAAATGTGAATTAATGAAATTAATTATAGGAAACATTCGATGAGTAAGTCTTCCAGCTGATTCATTTCTTCCAAGCAAACTCTGACCTAAACACTGAGCCCTATGAGTCACAGCCATCTTCTTTGCCTGTGAAACTCTTCAGACCAAAGCAGTCCTGTCAGTGGAATGGATAGTCCCAGGCTCTTTTCCAGCTGCAAGATCACAACAGTCTCAAAAGCTCATTAAATGCAATGACCTTCCATCCTTGCTCGTAACTGTTGGGCCCAAGTGTCCAGAGTATGTTTGATATATCTGCTGGCACATTGACATGCATTAGCACATTCTGCTTCAGGCCACACAAGGCTCAAATAAGAGAGCAAGCATGCTCAAGCTTTCTCCTCTAGAAATGTTTTCACCCTATGTTTGTATATAGGCATGAAATTCTATGAAAAAGGTGTGGATCTTAAGTGAATTTGGGCTTGCAAGAGAGACTCACATGTAGCTTGCAGTCAATCATGCTCAATCACTGAATGCTTGTTTGCCATTATAGGAGCTGTAGCAATAAAGGATGATATCTCTGCAGCAGGCAAATGAGTCAAGCCTGAATGTCTGATGTGAAAAATGATTCACCATTTGTGATGGATGTGATTTTGATTCAGTTTGACATTTTAGAGGAGTAAATATTTGAAACAACCTACTTTTGAATCCAATCCACCAATGGAATGAGGAAGGCAAATAAGTAGAAAGTATGTTACCTTGTGTAGCTTGAGTAGGCACAGTATGAAAAGGCAGTATGTTCACTCAGAGCCTTTACAGCAAGTGGTTTCATAGTTCTTTTAAACCTCCTTCCTATCCAGTCCCAGCACTGGTGCACAAGACTCCATCCTCCACTGATGGTTTCCCTCTGCAGGTGCTGCTCACCCTGCCCTCAGCCTCTCCCTGGGAAAGAGGTTTTGACGAATGCTAAAACGATGAATGTAATTTTCTGTATGTTTGTTTGATAGATTTCATTGTGGCTTTCTGCTAGGCTGCTTTTCTTGGTAGCTTTGCTCACAGTCAGCAGGGCTTTTACTTCAGGAAAATCTCATGGCAAGCACCAAACCCCTGGTGGGGAAAACTGATGGCTGTGATGAATCTTCACAATCAGGCCATACAGGGAACTCCTGCTCTCTGCTGTGGAATCTACTAGTTGATCAATAAACTTGCAATTTAATTTTCACAGAGACAAAGTAAATGACACACTGTATTCAACAGTGACTGATATAGAAGGTAGTGTTTTGTATGCACTTAAAAATAAATATGCTCTTCACAATGAGGACATTGGAAATCAGGATATCCTGGACATTTCTATGACCTCCCCCAGCCCAGGGCATAAAACCCAGTGCATTCAGCTCTGGTTCAAGGTGTTTGCCACAGTTTTGTGAGTCTCAATTTAGAGTGATAAAAAGGCATAAACTATTCATATTCCTTCCATCCTTGTTCACAGATGTTTAATTGTATAAGGATTCTGTGTGTGTATGTTAAAATTGTTGACTCAAAAAGGAAAGCCTTAATTTGATTTACTTTCTTTTTTTTTCCCTCAGTGCATTAATAAAAGAAGGCTGAGATAATGTGTGATAATATATAATGTAGAAGTTTTGATAATTCTATCTGAAATCAGTGAATGAAAATCAAAAGATTTGCACTTTTACAATGTTACATTTATGCTTGGTATAAAACACCAGGTTCAGGGCAGTGTAATCAATCTCTAACGTCTGAGTATATCAGTGTCATAAGTTTCTAAGACAGGCTCACACTTTGAAGGAAGCAATCTCATTATACTTATATATATGTATATATATTCAGGTGACTTATTTGAGCTTTGCAATTTTGGCTTGGGCCCTGCAATTTTGGCATAAATAAATGTACTTCCATCACCAGATTCAGCACTTCTGTGTGACCTCGGTAAGCTCTGCAGGAGACTAAGCAAGAGATATTTCTGTCACCTCTTTCATTCCCATTAGTTTCCAATTTTCAAGCTGGATTCTCTCCACCATGAATCAGAATTCTTATATTGCATAATACTACAAAGTGGCTTTCTAGGGATAATTAAATCCTATCAAGATGGTGCAATAGTTCATTTTCAAAGACAGGTTGATTTAATTTCAATTACTGAAAATTTCTATGGGTGACTTTAATAGTCCTTTTTAATATACATAGATCTATGAGATGCTTGGGTTATATATTTTTTCTTGAAAAGTACTTATCTTCCTAATTTCAGCCAGGTTTTTTTAAGTCTGAATGAGTTCTAGAGCTAGTCTTGAAGTGTCAAAATTTTACCAACCTATAAAAAGTGGGTGATGATTTCTTTTTTCTGTATGAACATAAAGATTCCTTTATAATTGTAATTCAGTTCAGGTTTTATCATATCAGTGCACTGTAATAAGGGTTATAAAAATCTCTGTTTACAGTACTGTTAATTATGCACCATACATGTGCACACAACCACACACAGTCTTCCAAATATGTATGAATTTTGTCAAACACTTTAGTACCTAACTTCTGTTGGAAGACTGTCACATCTGTGCTTGTTTTAACACATGGTGCTTTCAACAAATAATTTTATAGGAGGGGCACATAATGAACTGGCAAGTGCTTCAAACTGTATCAAACTGTTCAGAGTGATAAAGACCAAGGATGTGTGAAGAATTGCAGGAAGACCATAAGAAGCTGAGTGTTAAAAGGCATGTACAGCTCAATGTAGATCAATATGGAGTGATGGACATGGGGAAAAAATTTAACGCCAAAAGAAGATGTGATGGATTCTCTGTCAAGCATCACCACT